ACAGCGTGTAGTCAGAGTATGGAATAGTCTTCCTGCTATTGTAGTGGAAGCTAAAACCATGGGTTCCTTTAAATCGGAGCTAGATAAGATTTTAACAACTCTGAGATATTAGCTAAGTTCTCCCCAAACGAGCTTGATGGGCCGAATGGCCTCCTCTCGTTTGTAAATTTCTTATGTTCTTATGTTCTTATGTTCTTATGATTAATTAAGGCTGATCTCATGTGCTCCTCAAGCATTTTTCTCCGTCGGCCGCGATCACGTTCGTTCAGTTCCCCCAGACCCGCTGTGACGGTAAATCCGAGATGAGCGAATGGCTTTCCTGTCAGCTGTCGGCACAATCTGAGCGTTATCAGGATGTATGACCTTGGGCTGCTGCCATTCGGACCACCACAGGTGCAAAGAGCCTTCGGAATGACGTCAGGACTCCAAGGAAACTTCCTTTTCGGAAGCTACACACTGCTCTTCCATTAATATTGCCCGCACGATTGCACATACACTCTGAGGTTGCCCTGTGATGGACTGGCATCCTTTGTTCCCTTGGTGTTTGCCCCAGGCCACTGGCATAGGTTCCAGGCCCCCCTGAAAACCTCCACTAGATAAGCATTTGGAAGATGGATGGATAAATATTTTTTTTATTCATTCACAGCAGTCCACCGCTGCGAGTGCACGCCTCCTCCTGGTACTTCTGTTTTCCATTGTCTACCAGTTCTGGCGCCACACATATTGTTGCTGTCACCATCCAATGTGGCAGAGGAGCACTTTGACTTGGAAGCATCTGCGCAGTTTCGTTTTTCTCTTCGACGTTCTGCTGCTGTCATCGCAGACCCAAGTGGCTAAAACGAGCTTCCTTCACAGGGTGTCTGGGCTCAGCCTTATGGTGCGTTTCCACTCCCACCAAGAACCGAGCCGGTACCCAAGCCGGTACCCAAGCCGTACCACGCTGACATAACTCTATACTTACTAGCAGGGCTGAAAGTGTGAGCAAACTGAGCTAATTGTGTCACCGCCATCTGCGCATGGATTAACTGAAGGAAAAAAGAGGCCATATTCTATATATTATTTATTAGTAGTGGTATCGCACATTGCAATGTATTGATGCTTTCCCGATAACTCAGAATTTCCAATGCCCTGTTTAAAAAAATACTACAGAGCAGCTAAACGGGATGCATTGATAATGCTAATTCATGCAAGCGAATGATAATTCCGTTAGCGTTTGATGCTAACAAAGATGTAATTTCTCACGGACTTGCTAGCGGGAATTAGCACATGGTAAATCATGATGTACACCACGTGAACAGTAAATAAGTTTTACATCACTGTCGCTCTCCAAACCCAACAATGCTTATCCAAGCCGACGAGCTGGAACCGCACTGTAACTAGTCTCTCGTAGGGGTACAAGCCGGGTACAGCTTGGTACCTGTACGCCAGTGGAAAAGCACCATTAGAGATGCCCTGGAGATGCTCTGGGCATGTCCAACTGGGTGAAAGCTCTGGAGCAGATGCAGGACAATCTGGAAAGGTAATATCTCTCCGTTGGCCTGAAAAGGCCTTGGTATTTCCCTGGTGCAGGTGTCTGGTGAGAGAGAGGTGTGGGCATCCCTGTTTAGAAAGCAGACCCAGATATATGGTGGTGGATGGATGCAGAGGTTCCTCTAGATACGTGAGAATAAAATTGAGGAAGTGCTTTTCAATGCATTTGATTTGTGGCTCAGAGCAGGTAAAGGAGACATGCATGAGTGTGTCAACAGGTGTTGAATTTTCTATGGCTCCCCTTAAGACTAAACTGGACTTGGAATACAGTGCGTATCTCTGATATATCTACCCCAAATCCAGCGAGATCCACAAATAGCCCCCCGTTTTCTGGTCCATTCTCGCCGTTTTTTTTTTGTCTTTCAAAATGTCTTCCTTGAAAAATGTATTCTCTTAAATAAAGTTCTCATACATTTCGCGAATTGAATGTGGGAAACTGGGTGTCAGGGGACGGCAGCTGTCAAATATGAACCAGGTGCAGAGTTGGAGGGTCTTCACAGGCAAATCAGAGGTAAACTGACAGCCCTAAGAGAGATGCACTAGCCTCTGGGCCTGAATATTTACAGCCAAACCCGACAGCTGACACTCACCATGTAGACAAAGATCATTGCGAATGCTGAAAGGAAATTGTCACATAACCTCACAGTTTAGAGTTGGTTTAAAATGGTACTTTAGCTAAATGAATGCACAGCTATATAATATATCATACAAGAAAGCTGCCTTTGTGCCAAATATAATTCTTACCTAAGACTCGCTTTCAGCTGAGCAATATCTGTATGTGTTTCTCAGCCATTGTGTAGAAACCACAGCTACCCACAACTTCTTTTTGCGGACGGAAGCCCAGCCCACAGACGCATGCGAAGGGAGATGATTGACCTGCCGCACGTCTCCGCACAGCCCGGTATCTGTTCGCTGACCCCATATACCTGTCAAACACACGCTGATATTTTCCTGGTAAGCTGCGTTCAAGTATGTCTCTGTGGTTATGACTGTCAGTAATGCAAGTAGCAGTTGCAGCGGAGCGGAAGAAATTTTACAGCTTTCCTTCCGATTGGACATTCAGACTTACCACTTGGCCCAATTAAAAGCGATCACATGATCTTCGAATCTTTAACATGACTGCCGAGAGCATGTTTTTTCCATAAAGTTTAAAAACAGACCATAATATGTTAGTGGTCTGTTACATTTAGCGTCACGCAGCCATTGCTAGTGTCAAAAGCTTCAGTTTTCATATACTGGTGCTGAACACAGTTTCCCACAAATTGCTGATGCTTTTCCCAGTCAAAAGGGTCCATGTTATGGGATCTGGGAGCTGGTTTCATCTCTGAACTGCTAAGCCTCCCACGCACACAGGCAGTGTGGACCAGTGTGAATTCGCAGCTGGTCGCATGTTGGTTCTGCAGCATATCCATCAGCACCGTACAAATTCCACTCTTCCTTTAAACAATCTGATTAGACAGTGCATGGATTTGCAACTACTGTGAGGTGTGCATGATGTTTATAGCTACTATGTCTGGCATGCATGCATACAGCTACAATGTAACACACAGCTACTGTGTGGCATGCATGATGCTTACAGATACAGTGGATTGTGCATGATGTCATCACGAAATGGTTTCCAACCATTGCTGCTCTTATTAAGCTAATTTAAAGATGTTTTCAGCTGGTGGTACGTGGCAGTGAACATTTACAGTGAAGCGTCTGGCAAAACAGTTTTCGTTTGCGCAGTTTCCCTCCAAAATCCGTCAGATTTTCTTTTCCAGGGTCCTAAAATGATGGTTTATTCCCCCAATTCAGTTTAAGAAGTCTGGAAGATTTTGAAACTGTGAATAGTCCTTTTCAAAAGTTCTATTCTATTTTAATTGTCATGTAACTCAGGGGAGGAATGACACAGCGGGGCCCTCTGGGTGGGGCACAGCAGAGACCTTGGGGCACCTCGGACAGCGGGCCAGGCACAGCTGGGGCACCCGGAAGCCAGCTAAGCGAAGCCAGGATCCTCAAGCTGGGGGCAACAGCAACTTTCCTTGGGCAGGGTTCAGGAGGCACAGCGGCACTGGCAGGGAACTTCACGTGCACCAGCGACAGAGAACAGGAGCGGGTCCGTTTTTCTTGGGCTGGACACTACCAAAGCAGTGGGGAGCTGATCCGGGTCGGGCACTGGTGGAGCAGTGGAAGATTGTAGAAATGAAAAATGACGTGTTCAGCGAGATAATCAATCAGATTGTAGAGGAGGTAGGTCCAAGCAACTAGAGGAGGCGAGACCAATACATCTGATGGGTTGGTCCCGCCTACTCTAGTTGTTTGTACCCATCTCCTCTACAATCTGATTGGGTGGGCAGGCAGTTGGGCAGCCAATTGACCTTGGAGTTTTTGGTTGCTCTCCTCCATTGTCTTCTGGCATTCCTTCTTTCCCTCTCCTTTTTTCCCTGTTTCATGCTACCATTTTGTATAAATTACCTAATAATGGCACACACGCTTGTCAAGTGACTTGGGGTGACTGTGTTGTGAATGGTGCTATATAAAAATAAAATGCAACTTATAAGCTGTATGCATGTGCTTCACAAAGCTGGGTTGCCGTTTGGGAACCGCTTGAATCTGAAAACCAATGTACGAAGAAGTCTAACCTGGTGTGAGGAACACAAACCCTGGACCCTTGAGCAATGGGGAAAAGTAATATGGTCTGAGTCATCTTTCAGCCTCATTCCGACATCCAGATGGGTTTAATTTGGAGAAAGCCAAAGGATGGCTTCAGCCTACAATCTCTGTTGGTGTGGACAACCATCTCATGGGAGTCATTAGGTCTGATGTTTGGTCTGCAAGGTCTTGCAATGGAGAAGGAGACAGGCCATTATCTCAGACCAGATGGACCCTAGGGCTCAGAAACTGTTCCCTCATGATTTCTAAGAATTCCCTCATTCACACAGCTAAACAAATTCAAGAGCGGTTGCATGAACTCCAAGATGAAGCCAAGAGTCTTCCATGTCCTTCCCCGGTTATCTGACTGAAGCACCGTTGAACATTGAACATGTTTTGGAGAGCAACGGGCAAAGCAAGATGCCCTTTCTTCATCCCTCAAACAACTGGAGGCATATTAGGCACATCCCAATTTTAGATTCCTAATACCGTTAGGTATTTCCATTGCTTTGTCCACCTCAGTAATATAGCAAATACCTCAGTATGAGGAGCTCTGAATGTGATGTATTACCCAAATTATTTTAATCTTATGATAGGTACACCTGCAAAGGTATGTCAGTAAGTGTCAAACAGCAATAAGTGTCATGGCAACACAGCACCTGTGTGAATCTGCCCTTCATTCATGTAGTTTCACTGGGTTCCACTGTCAGAGGACAACCGATGTGTTGGAGAGTTAAAACATACCTTGGAATCCACACAGGTTGGTCCCTCGACTCATTCCACAGAAACACTCCCTTCGGTAGCAAATAAGGGGTCATTTCCAGCCGCAGAATGTTTGCAGCTGGAAACGCTGAATGAGGGTTATGCAAACAAGGCAATATGTATGCCAAAAATGTTCTTTTTCTTTCTCCGTGAAGAAGAAAAAATTCCCCTGACAGAAGTCCAGAATTCCAAATGACTGTACTGCACTTGTCTTTGAGACTCGTAGCCCTGACCCAGATCAGATTCCTGGAACCTGAATTATCTCTGCTGCCATATTTCCAGTTTAGGACTGGAGCGGTTTGGGATGGGCGCTCGGCAGGGAAGAAGCTCTGTGCCACCAGCCAATAGATCACTCCAAGGAGCTATTTCAGGCTTGCACATCTTATCCTTTATTTGATGCAGTGTGTAGTTTAAGACAAAGTATTTTACACCTCAGGCCAAGATTTCTATAATAACTTTTTTGTATCCAAGGTTCCCTCCTCTTTTCCGGCCTTGGATGACCGCAGATCCACTCCCGTGCTACTTTCAGTTGTCTTTAGAAAACCGACTTCACAACAGCCCTTCCGGTTGGTTTATAAACAGTCAGTACTTTATTTGGACAATTACTGAAACAAATTATGTGAACTGATCATTACCAGTATTTTCACCATAGATGCAGATTCCTTACTGTACACATCATTTTACTTCGGCGTGTATTTTTGAGGTTTTTTTTTTTTTTTTTTTGGATAGCTGTGAAGGTCCCTCAGTGGCCAACCTGCCCAACTCCTTCCAGCTCTGGAATGCTTGCAGATTGATGTGTTTATGACAGGGCGTATTAGCCAGTCTCCCTCTCCAGACGATGAAAATGCTTAGCATGCTCTTGAGAGACTCTGGGATGCACACTGCGTCCATGCATAATTGTACGTATCCGTAAGAAGTTGGGTTGCTTCTCCTTTCACACAAATCATGACAACTTATAAGATTATGGTGGACGGTTAAATGCCTTTCTGAGTGCCCGAATGGCTTCAGTCGCAGTGGAATGGAAAGTTCAGCTGCAGTTCAGCTTTCAGCGGACACAGCAATGAATACTTTGATCCAAATTCACTTCATGGGTTGGGAAAAAATGCTTTTGAAAGTATGAAACCACACAGTAAAGGAGGGGAAAACACTGCTAATCTTTTCTTCGCCCTAACTGACACTCGATGTGGGGGTCGCTAAATGATGATCTACTACCCGTTGAATGTTCCTCTTTCTCAAACTGTGGACTGTAAGTTCTGAGGAGAAGAGTGTAACTATATATACGTGCACTGTTTCATCTGGATGGGTTCTTTTCAAATGACATGCATTCTTAAGTTTTGTTGCCTCAGTTCTGTATTTCATGCAAGACCAAATTTCGCTTAAGAGTTGTAACCGTGGCATGTCACCGTTTTGACCCAGGAGAACCTACACCACACAAACCATCTGAAATATCAGCAGAGAAGAAGAGCATTCTTGGCCACCCCAAGAAGGTTTTCCCCTCGAAAAGGATGGAAATTGCAACTGAGTCATTTTTGGCATTCTGATAGCATAATGACATCAATGGTGACCAAGGGAAACATTACAATGTTACAAAAAGTATCAAAGTGTATTATTGTAACCTTCGTGCTAAAATAGGTGATTATATATTGGAATCTTATGAGCTATATGAATATGCATTAAAAACCTAAACCCACAAAACAGAACAAAGACCATATTTTAGTTTGAACCGTAGCCCCTTCCGAAACTGAATGGATTGTAATAAATTATTCACTATCGTTATTCTAGAACATGGTGCCAGTATAAACATTATTACAAATTGGACGAAGAATCTAAATTTAAATATGATGTAAATTCAAACTGTTTTGTATGAATGTAAAGGCAAAACCATATGTCATTTATTTATTTGCAATATACTCTATTACAACTGTTTAATTTGCAACAATTAAAAAGCTAAAACTGTTCATCTGTCCATCTCTGTCCATTTTTAAACTTGCATTGATTTTGACTGATAAATGGCACCCAACCATATGCAAATATGACATTTATGGAAATTTCCAAAATCTAGATGATGGTAAATCCCAGAAGAAACCCTTTAAGTGAACTCTGAGTTTTCGAGAAGCAGGTACAGTTATAGTTAAGGACTGAACCCCGTAACCTGAAGGACATTGGTTTAACTCCCAGAACAAGTATCCAATTGTTAATGGTTTAACTGTAAACAATGCTGAATTGAATCATACAGGTAACATGGTCGGGATTTTGAAATAATATACATTATACTTAAATGTTTTTATACAGACCTTTAAATTTCACCAAAGTATGTGGTATCCTACTTTAAATTTTTCGCAGACATCCTTATAATTTTATTAAATGATGTAATGGAAAGAAAGTGAATAGCTGGCTTCCTGGCATGCTCTTTGGCAGGAATATACAAGCGACTGCAATGAACCATTAATTATTTTCAAGTTATTAATTACTTAATGTATCTTTCTCATTAGTAACTGATGAAAAGATACAGATGCTCATGAGCATTGTGAAGCTGGTCAGAGTAAGAAGCTCTCTGTACAAACACAGGCCAGCCTCTGCCACAACCACAGCTGTGAGACTGTTTTTGAGAATGACTTGCAATGTGAGTCAACCTTCTGAGGGTTTCTCTGTAACAATATTAAAAACATCTCCTCTGGGTGCCTCCCAAACACAGCAAAACTGCGCTTGTCATCAGCAATACTGTTAGAGGAGATCAGATCCTCCTTTTGTTTACACGCCCGTTTTCAGCCCTTTCATATTTCCTTGAAATGCAATCAGATGCTGCTTTATGTTCCTCACACCTTATGAAACGGATTTTTTTTCAATCCTGGATGCTTGAATCCGGGTTCGAGTCATGGCATGGGTCACAGAAGCGCTGGAGCTTCTTAGGTCCTTCTTTGAAATGAATTAGCTATTTAAAAATTCAGCATCTGTCTCTTATAGGTTTATTTTTCCATTATGGAAACAAAAGCACGGCTGCTCTCATACAGGGTGAAATCAGGCATGAAGAAGAACTGAAAACTGGAAGTGCAGAATGCTGCAGAAAACATGCAACGCGGCAATGGCTCCCGTTACACGCGGCAAGTCTTTAAATGCAATCCACACTATAGTATCGGGATTATTAAGAACACCTTGAATAAGAGTTTCAGCGAACAATAATCAAAGTGCAAAGAAGTTCAAAGACCTGTGCCGTGAGGAAGTTAAAAGAAGGCTTGAGGTCATTCTTATGTGTCACAGGAGCCCACAATGAAGGTTTTATTTATTTATTTTTTTAACGTGTTGAATCACAGAACTGCAGATGCTGAGTGGTGCCAGCAGTGTGAGGAGCAGGTTCAAAAAGCTTCATCATTTGTGTTTCCCATAAGGGTCACATAAAAAGGATCGACGCTGGCCTGCAGAAACTCTCCGTGAGTAATGCCAGCGAGTTAAGACAAAGGGGACTGCTTTAAACGTGGCCAACTGTCCCTATGATGCAGTGTGGCTGTTTTGCAATACATCAGTGACTAGAGTTTGTCAAGGATGTGTGTTTTAAATGTTATTTTTCAACCAGATGGCTCTAGATAAAAGACCCTACTGTTTATTCATAACATATTTGTATATATATATTTTTTTCTTTTTTCAAGAAAACTGCTAATTATTTAGACTAGGCGTCCTAAAAGTAAAAGTAAGATTCTATACTTAACATGGAATCTTTAGATTTTCAGAATCTGATTTTCGTGAAGCCGGTTACCATACAGTAGATGCGCATTTCTCTCTTGATGTAAGAAAGACCTCTGCAATGACCTGCAATTCTTGACAAATGGAATTTGTTTCCTTAATCTTACGCAGATGTACAAACAGGACACGAGACAATGAAACCTGCAACCTGTGCATATCCATCCATTCTCAATAAGCAGATCTTGAAAGCATAGGATGCGAAGAATTGTCCCCTCTGGCAGGTGTGTTGAACCATCGGCTGAAGTTCACGCACATGTGGCCAAGCTTACAGCTTTCTGTTGAAAACAAGAAATGTGATCAAATGCAATGCCAAAATTTATATCTTTTTATATGCACATATCTTGGCGAAACATTTTTTGATATACAAATGCTTGTGCCAGCCCTAGCTGAAGTCACCAGCTATGAGGCGCTACATATTTTTCTAGAGAATATTACTATCATTAACATGATTCATAAACACTTCAAGAAGAATACCCCTTTGTATTAAAATACATTTGTGCCGTGTATTTTAATGTATGTCAATTGTGGTTGTTAGCACTGTCGTCTCACACCTCTGGGAGCCAGGATCGAGTCTCTGCCATGTGGAATTTGCTTATTCCCTGTCATTTTGGTGTGGCCTTCAGGTCCATTCCCCCTGCCCCCCCCCCCCCCCATGTTCCAAAAACATGCTGAGGTTTGTTGGAGTTACCAAATTGTCCATCGGTGTGGCTATGTGTCCTGAGATGGGTGCCTTGTGCCAATAGACTCCAGACCCGCCCCCCCCCCTCCCCCCCCAACCCAGAATAGGATAAGTGGGTACAGAAAATGGATGGGCGGATTTTAATTTGTAAGCAAAAATCGATAACACAAGCAAATATATCATGGTCATTGTCCAGTGAATCTTTTTTACACAGTTGGAAGATGGACAAGTCGATATTTACAACAGGATGGATGATTGATCAGTATCTTAAAATTCATATGGACTTCATAATTAAGACTGTATCGTACTGTACATTCCTCATAAACAAAAACAGATGTTACCATTTCAGCAGAAACTAAATATTTACCTTTACATTTAATTATTGCCAAATTCTGGTCTGAAGTTAAGCATTTACATCATAACTTGAGCAAACACGGACTGGACTGATTTCTTTAAAGCGTACGTACGAAAATAACGCGTCTTAAAAATAGAGAATATATGGAAGCAATTTATGTTAATTAGACTTTTATTTATGGTCTAATAATTGGACGCATTTGAATTGTTGATGATGTTTTTCAGATATTTCTTTCATATGTGTTGCTCCAATTCCCCGAGAACATCAAAGAGTCTTTAGTTAAATGTTAATGGTGCATGCGTTTGGCCTGAGACCGAACCGTCCCAAACTGGGAGAAAAACCAGCCAGTCGGTCCTGAGTTTCAGTTATGGTCACAGATTTTAAATGAGGAAGACACGCTTAAGGGGGGTACAGCACATAGTCATAACCCAGACCCGCTCCAATTACACATTAATATTTACTATGTTATTTATACAGAATACAGTGACATAGTTGTTTTGCATTTAAAGTGTATATTCGCTGTGTGTATGAGGTGCATGAACCGTGTTTACCAATGCAATTATTACTAACATAGATTTTCAAACAAATTTTTGCTGTATAGCGTGCGTAAAATAAAATGCCGTTGACAGAA